CACCAAATACACAAAATAATGATCTTTAAAAAAGCATCATATGACCCCTTTAAACCCGGATGATTGTAACCACTCTAAGTTCGTCTGCCTTGGGAAAGCTAGCGTGTCTCTGACATAGTGATAACACTCATTACCAGGTCTCGTCCCATTCGTCGATATTTGTGATATCACAAATCCTGGAAAATATGCGTTGTAGTCCAAACGAGTCGTTCGTTGTAGTTTTTGAAAAGTGATTTCTGTTAAATAAAATATCTCCTTTTGAAGTGGACTTTGAGCTTTGTAACTTTGCAGATCTTTTTTATGCTCAAACAGCAACATTACAGACTAACTAAAGTTGAAAAAGTGAAAAAGCATAATATGACCCCTTTAATATATCGGAATAAACCGATTTTTGGATATATAATGGCTGATGTTTGCTTAATTGTGCTTGCTCATTTTCCAGATTTTGATTATGTATCTCAAAAAACAGTAAGAATTTAATGACACTATAAAACGTAGTCTTCAGCAAAACTGAAACAAATATCCATTTTTCATACTGTACAGATAATGTCATGTAGCATTTAAAATTATTTTTTTATTTAGTTAACTATAACGAAAACTATTAAAAACTTTTGTTTTTGTTTTTGTTAATTAAAATAAAGCTGAAATAAAATGAAATATAAATATTAGCTGAAAAGGTTTAACTTAACTTGGGAAATTAAAAAAATTCACCTTGGCATTTCACTGAAATAAAATTAAATTAAGTTTAAAATCACCATTAAATCAATTTAGACAATTCTTATTTTTCATGGAATAGTGCAGTGTTATATATTATCTTTAATCAAAATAACTTCCCCTCCCCGTCAGTGTCATGAGAGCGGGACAATCATCGCTCCCCTCCAGCAGCAGTGTTGCCAACTTAGCGACTTTGTCGCTAGATTTAGCGACTTTTCAGACCCCCTTAGTGACTTTTTTCCAAAAAAGCGACTAGCGACTTTCTTGGACAAACCTTATTTAGTCTCTGAGACTCTCCGGTACTGCCGCATGAGTGCGAGGTCTTGCTTTCCCAGCGCACACACCTCTCTCTCTGTGTCTGCGCTGTTCAGCAAGCGCAGAGAGGAGCAGCACTTTCAGTTAAAAAAAGATATTCTGTTGCTTCTAACTCTATTTTACATGCAAGTATAGCCGAAATCACAGCACAGCCATTGTCTTAATCGTATGTGTAGTTGATTTCATTAGACTAAGAGTAAATATGGTTCGAATAGCCTATATTTTAGTAGGCTATAAATATGTGGCTATGTTACAGCTCCCCTTTGAAGCTCTTGTGTTTTTCTCCTTTTCCATCTCTCCAATCCTATTCCGCACACAGGTGATTGGAGATGAGTTTTGTTCCCATTTTTGTTGCAGTTTGCTGATTTTTGTAAAATAGCTTCTGTTTTTGCTTTTCAGATAAAAGAGTGGTTTCCGTTTAATATGTTGCAGGCTCATTTATTGGTAATAAATAATTGATAACAAATAATATTAATGATAATAAATCATAAAAAAAAAAAATTGGGCTTGTTTTGGGCTTGTTTTTGAAGCAGCGGTTGCTTATTTGTCTTGCGAGAGTTGACAACAGTGGTGGGGTTTAGCTACTTTCCATTGAAAGAAGTTGGCAACACTGTCCAGCAGTCACTCACATGAATTGTTGCAATTAGCATTCAACAACCATTCATTCAATTCTTAATGAATGATTGAATGAATAAGGCATTTATACTGTACAACATTGTACAGTATAGCAGTTTAATTTTGCCCATCAATTCTGATTGATGCTATTGTGTTGCATCATCTAAATACCTCAGATCATGCGGTTTGTTAGGCACCTGAGGGTGAATAAAATATTTGGCAGTGGGCACCAAATCTCAATTTCCATAGCTGTTCATTAAACATGGCATGTGTCACATCAGTATTTTTTGCACAATCTTTAATGCTAATCTTTGCGATATCTCATGTTTCTTGCTGAGGCGAGGTGTGCTGTTCCTTTAGTAAGTGATCTGACTTTGCATCTGAGGGATGATAAAATCTACATTTGAAGGAGAGAAACATATCTAGAGACCAGAATATAATAGAGGCTTTTGACTTAGGTCTGTTAGCAACCACCCAGAACACACTAGCAGATGCATAGCAACAGACAGCTGAAGGTTTGCCCAGACAAACAGCACACACATTTTTTCAGAGAGTAAACATGTAGTTTTCGGATTAGTTTGAGCTCATTACTCTCTTTGAATTGACAGATGATGATTCACTTCTCAGCCGGTTTTCTGCACTGCGGGGTCTCAGTTAGAGAGCAGCTACAAGACCTTTTAAAATATTTATGTGCAACATCGAACAAATGGTCAAGTGATGATGATGATGATGATGATGATTACTGTGTCTGATTTGAAACATCTGCATGATGTTAAGCACAAGATACTTTGCTTTTCATATGAAAATGACTGTTAATTGATGGGGTTTGAAATACTAGTTATATTTCCATTATGCTGCTGTTTTATTAAAAGTCTGAATGGTCTCGCGGCTGAGCTGTGTGTGACGCAGGCACATCTGTTGTCATGGACACGGGAAACAAAATACTGTGGTTGGGAGCGCTGTGTAATGGAAGCAGGACTTGACTGGGATTCAGTCTTTTTCTGTAAATAGCTTTCATATCCTGTCCAGAATTAAAAACATGGCATTACCACATGATGAAACTTGCCAGGCCAGACAACATTAGTATTTTTTTCATCATCTTAGAAGGTTGTAGCCCTTAAAACTAAAGGCAGAATGGGTACAGACATCATGTTTTAATCTAATGCTGTTTACATAGAAGACATTTTGATGCATATTCTTTACAATGAACAGATGTATATACCGACAGATCACTTCATTCACAATTCTTGGTAAAAAAAAAATGGTGTGAATTAGGGATGCACCGATACCACTTTTTCCAGTACTCGCCCGATACCTATTCCAAAGCCACTCATATAATGCAGAAACACTCAAGAAAGCAAAGCACGTGCAACGCGTGCACGTATTTGTACTGATGCAGAATAGTACATCCTAGCGCATTTCACACAGGCTGCTAGATTCACTTTCGCCAGAAAGTCGTGTATGCCTAAGGTTAAAAATAAATGATGTTTATAGTGAATGCCCCTATAAATGGTCTATTTTACGATTTAGTTTTAATCCAAATGATGCGTGTGCTAAGTGAGTGAACATCAAAGATCACACAACAGAAGTGCGCGCGCTCTCTCCCTCTCTCTCTCCCTACCGTTAAGTAACTTGTGCATTGTTTTACTTACTTGTTTTTGACATATCCGACCGAACTACAAACTTTCCAGTGATGTCTGTGAGAAAGATATATTCACTCGACAAGCTCGCGCATCTGCGCCGCCGCGCGCTCAATCCACTCAGCGTGCTTTGTTAATCAGCTCGCGCACATCAGCTATAAAGGCGTTAATACTGAATGTTTAACATTATACTCATTGCATACATATACTTCGTAGTAGACATCCTTAACTCCTTTCCGCTGTCTGTTGTTCTGTTGTTGGTGTTTCTTTGTCTGAATATGGCACTTATCACATGCTGTGGTATCGGCGTTTGGTATCGGGGCATTTTAACGAGTACGAGTACAGGAGACCAGTATCGGGCCCAATACCGATACCAGTATCGGTATCGGTGCATCCCTAAAAT